TCTGCGGGAGCTCGAGGATCCACAGGGACAAAGACGCAGCCAGCTTTTAGAATAGCGAGCATGGCAACCATGCTCCATCGCGATTTCAGCATCTTGGAGATGATGAAGGCGCCTTGACCCCATCCCTTGGCAACAAAGTGGCGGGCCACAGCTTCGGAGTAGTAGTCTAACTCGGCGTAGGTGAAGCTACCATCCCAAGCACAGAGCGCTAAGTCTCTTGGGCGATGGAATGCATGAGCAGTGACAACGGTGTGAATGCACTCTTGACTGTCTGATTGAATGTTGTTATTCCACCTGGAGAGCTGCGCTATTTCATGGAAAGGCAACAGGTCAATCTGGTCGATCCCCAAATCCAAGCTAATGCTGGGACTGAGCAGTTGATGGCAGATGATTCGGAAAGTGGCTACCACAGCCTCCATCTTTTGCTCATGTGCTGCACCGGAGACATTGATGTGGCACTGATTTGATTCTTGATCAGACAGCACAAGTGTGTAGAAAAGCTGGAAAGTGGTTAGTGATATAGTGTCAACATGGCGTCTCTCAATTCTACTCACCTCCTCAGGAGCAATATGGGCGATTGACGAAGGTGGCTCATCCACTGTGACGAGAAACCGGGTAGGACAATCGCTGAGTCTCAAAGAAACACCAGCATCTTCCGCTACTGTGGATTGGCTCACTTGATGTAAGACGGCGCCGACCGTGACGGGATCAGGACCACTGTGGAGATTGCGCATCGTGACATAGAGGCCATCTTCATGACTATCACTCTGATGCAGATTTGCCAGATTCACATTGTCGGAGTCTGTGTGCACGTGGCTTGTGATTGCCCATGCAGTTTTGAGAAAGGAGTTGGGCTGTAAATTGAGCCTGGAGCAGGCTTCTCGAAGGGCTTGTGATGAGACCACGAGCTTTTTCGAAGTAGACTTCATTTTTGTATGGTAAAAAGTAATTTGATGATACAGCCTACCGAAGGATTTTTGATTAGTCGTATTAGGACAGATGGACTGGTAGAGTCGAAAAACGAGGTTCAGCGAAGAATATCGTAGTACCACGGATTCAGGCTCATGGTGAAGTGGCTTCATGCAGTAATTATCTGAGTGATTGAAACTTCCGTTCCTTCCCCCACCCCTAGTCAGTATCGTCTTCTCTTGTCATATCACAAACGCTGACACTGCCAAAACAACGCTCGGTGTTGATGGAAATTAAAGAGCGTGTTACCAGGGAGTCTTGGCTGTCGGCCACTGTTGCTCAAAGCCCAAAAGGGCAACGTGAATGACCCTGCCCAAACCTTAAGACGGTAGACTGATCCTTTCGACAAGCAGTGCAGTCATCATTGTGCACAAACGCGAGGGTTTGGAAGGAATCGACAACAGTCGCATTCGGAGCTCCAGTGACTCCAGCTTCCTACACAAGCTCAGTAAGCCAGTATGGATCGTGAGTCGTGACCTTGTTTCAATCTCCGGCATGTCACCACGAGTTCCACCTTGGGTCCCAGACTTATGTTATGTGGTGCGTTCATACATATCAGCGAATAGGAGACATCGCACTTTTCGCCGAAAAGCAGGGTCACATCGCCCGTCGACCTAGCTTGACATGACTGCAAGGTTCCGCTTTATTCGGCTTCGACGCGAGAGTGAGCCTCTGCGGAGGTTACCCCGGTCCTGTTCCTATGATCAGACGAACCTCAGCCGAAAAACTCGTTAGGATTCCGGATTCTTCGTAAGCGAAGTGGGGCCGTAGACGGATCCGGATCGTGGGGCCAAGCTGCAAGGTCAGCAATATTCCCTGGCTGCGGCGTGGCTCAAACGCAGGACGAGCCCGACGGGGAATTTAGATTGCTGCAAGATATCATTTCCGGAAACCTAGGGCTAATGTGGTAAGAGCAGTACCACCACGGGTAAGCCGGGTCATCACGCAACTGCAGATGTTGCTGACCCAGACCAAACAATCGGAATACCAAGGGTTCCTAAATCCTGCACGGGAGGTGTGAGAGGAATTACTCCGTACATCGAATCTATATGCGGCCCGCGCGGCAGCAATGCAGAGCCGAAGTTGGGCTGAATAACTCCAACTTGACCTTGAGAGTCCGCCAGTGGCCACGGAGATTTGAGCCATGCCGACAGTCTTAGGCTTTCAGGGCGAAGGAACGTTGCCACACTTCAAACCTGGAACACTCGTATCCGCACGTGCGGTTTAGTCGGGATCCGGCTGGTGCTTCAAGAACACGGGAGCGAGCACGACATGCCATTTGTCAGGGTGTCATCTGGGCCTCTTATGTATCCTTGAATGACTCTAAGTTTGACCCCGTCCCACCGTCATATCTGGAGTTCTAAGACAAGACATCCGTTGCCACGGGACCGGTGCCAACTTTCCACTTCCATGTTGCATTTGTCTCAACGAATTGCCATCAACCTACTCCAGTTCAATCCCTTCAAAGTGGCTGCCTAAACTCATATCACTCTTTTACCACATCACAACCAAAACACTCGCTCACAGCAATCGGCACGATGACGAGCGCGAAAGATACTGATTCACTGGAGACACCAGAGCGAACATGTTTCGGAATACCTCTCTCTGCACTAGCGGTGTGCATTGCCTTGTCCCTCACTGTTGGACTGATTGGCATGGTGAGTACAAGGAGTTTTCTTCTAGCCGAACCTACGAAATGGGTGTAGATGGCATTGCATACCACTCTTCTTGTGAATACTCAAGTGAAAACTCGCTAACGTATGACGAAATACAGGATGGCACAATTGTGGGCGTAGCAACTCCTGAAATTACGACCGATCTTGGAAGTCTTGGTGATGTTGGTTGGCTTGGATCTGCCTAGTATGTGTTTGAATGCGTTTTTGATGCACCCAACTCAGTCTCGCCCACGAACTGACAGATACGGCTCAGCTTTTTGGCAGCAGCAGCGTCTCAACTTGTCTTTGGCGCCCTTAACCGAGTAGTCCCTCACAAACATGTCTACATTGCAGGAATCTTCCTGTTCGAGCTCGGTTGTCTGCTTGCCGGACTAGCGAACACATCTACAATGTGTATCGTTGGTAGGGCGTTTTCTGGCCTAGGCTGTTCTGGAGTTGTATCAACCTCACTAGTGTACGTCAAAGTGTTCTTCAACATAATGCTCAGAACATCCTTCGCTGACTAGCCTGTCCTGATGCCAGACTCGTAACCGAAATTCTACCACCTGCCCGTCTCCCACTCATGATCGGAGTCTTGGGTGCTATGGAGTTGGTCGGCCAGATTACTGGTCCTCTCATTGGTGGTGCCCTGACGGATAACGCATCATGGAGATGGTGCTTCCTGATAAATGTACCCATGGGAACAGTGGCTGGTGCAGTCGTTTTCTTCTTGCTCAGGACCCATCGGAAGCCTTGGAAGACGATTTTCCAAGAGCTAAAGTTGATTGACGGCATCGGCATTCTCATCTTAACTCCGGCCATTGCTCTCATTTTGTTCGTCGTTCAGTCTGGAGGGAACACGTTCGCATGGAACAGCGCGCAATCTATCAGCATGTTGACAGTGGGATTCGCTCTCCTCGTGGCGCTCGTATTCTGGGAGCACCGAAAGGGCGAGGCCGCTGTCATTCCCCTAACACTGTTCAAGAACCGCAGCATCTCTTTCGCCGCAGCTTTTGCTGTCACGGCTGGTATGGCTATGGCTTTGTTTGACTACTACGTGAGTACAATCTTCATCGAGTGGTGTCCCTCACACCTGCTATGAGCCAGATTTTAACACACCGCAGATACCGCTCTGGAACCAAGTCATCAAAGGCTACTCAGCCGCACGCTCTGGCATTCTGCTTTTACCCCTAAACGCTTGCTCCGCTGTTGGTGTGATGGCAGGTGGCCTTCTGGCGAACACCATCGGTCGCGCGAACCCTGTTATGATTCTCGGTGGTACTCTTACGGCCATCGTATCTGGTCTTTTCAGCACCATTACCATGGACAGCACTGACTCCCGTATCATGGGGATCTCGGCACTGGCCGGTTTCGCTGCTTTGGCGTCTCAGCAGCCCATTGTTGTGGCCCACAACGCTGTCGAGACCAAGCTATCACCAACTGCGATCTCAATGATGCTCTTCAGCAGCATGGTGGGCAGTGCGATCAGTCTTGCCATTGCGCAGGCGGTCTTCCTCAACAAGCTTCAAGGTAACCTTCGTCCAGTACAAGGCGTCGACGTAGACAAGATCATCCGAAGTGGCGCGACCGAGCTTCGCCACATCGTTGATCCATCATTGCTACCAAAAGTTCTCGAACTTTACAACCTTTCAATTGTTCAAGTGTTTTACATGGCTTTGGCGGCTGGTATTGCCAGGACAATTGCATCACTTTTGGTCAAGTGGACGAGGATCTTGGAAAAGAAGCCAAAAGACGCAGAAACCTGTGAGCCTTCGCCAGTCACATCAGCCGGGACTGGAGTGACCGAGCCTGAGGACAGAGAAAACACCGAAACAACCACGGAAACTATCGTTGAGAAGGATAAAGTTTAATACGTAAATCATTGTGGACGGCCATAGTGTACAAGGAGCACCTTGGGTCTGTTGTTTTATGCAGTTTGTTGCCAAATATGCACGCTTAGGTCTGGTGGTTTGATTATTTGTTCATGAGATTTCATTTCACTTGGCGAACTGGCTCGATCCACGTTCATTCCGTTAAATACGTATCATTTCTCTCAATTATCCGCAGAGTTATCCGACGAGGTCTATTGCCCAAAATCGCACATTGCTGGCATTTGTAACATGACATATGAACTGACGACTATGAGTCCTTTCAAAGTGATCATATCCGAGAGCTTTCAATTAACTTAGTACCTTAATCCCCCGTTTCATCTCGAACCGTTACGAGAATCACCAAACGCACACGCTTCCAAGATTACTAGCTCATTGTTCAGGTCGTGACTTTATGACATTCATCTTTATTTACAGGCAAGCACTTTATTTACCAGTACATCCGTGCAGGATTTCAACTTCCTCATTATTAAACCTTTCAAAGCGCTTAAGCTGTTGCCGCTGTCTGGGTTACACTTGAGGCTGCGATTTTGGCCATAGTGTTTTGCTTCTTGAGCGGCAGGGTTGACAATTTGCGACGGTACATGTGCTATAACTGATGTTAGTGATAGAAAAAGACAAAGACGAAGTAGAGAATAACTTACCAATGACGCCGAAACAACCGCCATTGCCTGGGCATTCTCCTCGTTTTCATCGATGAAGTATCCCCATGTGGTCTTATCCTCCTCCACGCAGGTTGCCAGGACGCAGTACTTCCCATCGAACCGCTCAGACAGCTGCTGGGTATGATGAATTTTGGCCATGGCGTTAACGTCCTTCATGAAGTGCAAGCCCCTAACAACGGCGGAGGCAATGTCAGGTCCAGTTCCATCGACACGAATGGCGAAGCTGTCGGCAGGATTGATCATTCCGACAACAGTTTGCAATGTGCCATCGCTAGTAACAGAAATGTTGCCGATGTTGGAGGCACTATCGTACTTCTCACTTGGCATAAGTGCGTAGCTGGCAATGAAGAGGTTGATAACCTCCTGGTGGGAGATCTCTCGCGCAAGGGCCTCGCACATCATCTGGACTCGGCCTCCAAAGTTGATCTGAAGCTCGACGGGTATGTCAAGGCCCCAACGCCTGTTGAGAATCCAGGTCGCAGCAGCCTTGCCGCTTTGTGAGTTAACCCGAATGATTGTGTCCAGAGGAATGCCCAAGTCTTCTGGATCGAGAGGGAGGTATGGAATGTCCCAAATCGGCCTAATTCCCTTCTCGGCGGCCTCGACTCGTTGCGCAATACCCTTTCGGATGATATTTTGATGGCTGCCACTGAATGCTTGAAGCGCAAACTCACCAGTATAAGGCATACGCTGAGACACGATCAAACCAGTGAGCTTCTCATACTTTCTCTTAATCTCGTAAAGTTTTGAAAAGTCGAGACCGGGGTGGATGCCGCGCGAGTACAAGTTAAGGGCCAGGGTGACGAGATCAACATTGCCAGCGCGTTCTCCGTTGCCGAACAGACATCCCTCGACCATGTCAGCACCTGCAAGCATGCCCAATTCAGCTGCAGCAACACCACATCCACGGTCGTTATGGGTGTGAATTGAGATAGAAATCTTTTCGGGGTCAGACAGAGAGGCTCGGAAGGTCTCGACTTGGTCTGCAAACACGTTGGGAGTAGCAACCTCGGTACTAGTGGCCAAAACCACGACCAAAGGGTCCTCCACAGTAGGCTCCCAGGCCTCTCTCACAGCCTCAGTGATCTGCACAGCGTATTCGTGGTCGGCTTCGTTGTAGGACTCGAGGCCAAAAGCCATGGTCCAGTCCGTTACAGCCGCCGATTCCGGGTCATCTTTGGTAATAGATCGCAGATATCGAACAGATCTAACAGCCTGCTCGAGTGCTCTCTCTCGTGTGAAGCCCTGGTATTTGAGCTGCTTGTCACTGACGCAGATATAAGTGCAAACGGACGCTCTTTTGGCGCCACGGAGAGCGGCGACGGTGCGAGCCAAGAAATCTTCTCGCGTAGGAGAAAGACCCCGCAGGCGTACAGTGTCAGGGACGATGTTGGGCGTCTCAATCAGACGTCTCGTAAAATCGAACTCGACTTGGGATGCGGCCGGAAAGCATACTTCGATTTCGGTGTAACCAATTTCAACGAGCATCTGGAAATATTCCCACTTTTGCTCAATGGTCTATGAAAGAAAATTAGCCTCCCATAGGTTTGATTGCCAAATACATGCGTTAAACTTACCAAAGGGTTGATGAGAGATTGGTTGCCATCGCGCAAATCAGTTGAAAGCCAGACTGGAGGCTTCGTCAAAACCTGGTTGGGCCATTTTCGGTTTGGATTGTGGATTTGCTGGAATCCTGTGTACTTGGTGTGTGGGTCGGGAAGCCTATTTTTGCAATAGCTGTAAGTAAGCCAGCTATTACGGATGGCAAAGGGAATGCGCTGCAATTGGGGAGCACGTACATCTTGACCGGTTGTAATCTTCGGAGGATTGAAAATGGAGTTAACACGACAAATCACAGCACAATATGACTAATGATGTTATAGGTTGTTAATCAGATTATCAGTTGAGATGCTCACACCCTGGATGTTTATTTGGTCCCACTGGCACTTGAAGGTATATGTATCAATCAGCTTAATCTGGCGGGAAATGCCCTATGTTCTAGACGCGGGTCTATCATCCGAGCTTCTTACCAAAGGAAAAGAAAGTTCTTGACTATGCAGCTATGACATTGCATAACGTGGGCTTTTACCTGGGGCGGCAACGTGGCAGTGACACAGCGGTCTTCATGCTTGGTCTGTGTTTGCAACAGGGGCCCAAGTCTCGGCCCAACTTCAAGGGGTCCAAACGACTAGGTTCCCAGCGCGTCAATTGACATGTTGGGAATACCATCGGTCAGCAAGCCCCCGTCCCCGGATCAGGACGGGAAGTCAGACGCACCTGTTGTCAGTTTTAGAAACCGAATTCCATGTTTGGCTCACACATTCAACGTCGGTCGGTGCAAGACACAGACATGGAAGTCAGAAATGCTGACCAGGTAGCAAAAAGCGCTTTTATCGAATTCTACGCATCTTCAAGCCTCGAGGAAATACGCATACAACCACCTCTTTTTCTCTATTTTTCTTCCGCTCAATCGTGATCTAGCGGGTTTCGGCGTCCAGGAATTGGATACCAAAGAATTTGGAAGATTGATCCGTAAACGGTAATGCTTCTTTACACCACATGATCTCCATTACTGAGTTCATGTACCTATGTTGCAACTTCATGTCTACTGAGATCGACTTGATCTAGTGCGGGCTCAAAATGAAGCAGGTTTGCCGGGTGAGATGATCAAAGTAAGTAGCACCTACTTTGCCAAGGTTTGGATACATTTAGTTTAGATTATGCTTATCTTCCACCATGGATCGCTGGGTTCAGACAAGGTGCTAGAAGACTCAAACCAACTGATTCCTTAAAACTCAAATCAAAGCAACTTCAAACACTACAATAGAATAACGTTTCGCACCCTAGTTTTCTCTACCCACATCGTTATGTCTACAGATAATTTCTCATGAAGTTCCAAGAACCTTCTTCAGAGCCTCGATAATCACGTCAATCTCCTCTACTAAATACGAGAAGACAGGTCAGCTCTCTGGATCATCCAGAAGGGTTGAAGACCGTAACTCACCGGTGTTGTAGTGCACCAAACTCACTCGGACAACGCCATCTTCGCCGAGACCGAGGATTTTCTCGGCCAGCCGCTTTGAGAAGAAATGACCCCACCGAATCCCAGCAATGGATTGGGCCTCGACTCCCTCTACGACGCTTTGAGATGATTTTCCCTTTACGGTAAAACTCACAGTGGGAACCCGGGTTGAAGCTGCAGAAGAAACGTCGCCTCGAATGAATACATCAGGCCGCGACTTCAGAAACTCGAGAAGATGCTTCTGCAAGACTTCTTCGTGCTGAGCAAACTCAGCCCAGGTCTGCTTTGGGTTATCCCCGAAATATGCCACCAGCGGCATGACCGCTTGTGTGAGCTCGTAGCTAGCCGCAGCCAGCTCAAGCTTGTCCATCAAAGTTCCAGACGGATTGAAGTAGTGTCCGAGTGACTGGAGCTGCTCCTGTGCCTTGAAGGATCCGTATAGCAAAGATATGTGCGGACCGTATACCTTTGAGTTGTACACAGTCAGTTTATCCCGCACAGGTGGTTTCCTCATAGAATCGCTTACCTTGTACCATGAAAACGCATAGAAATCAGCCCCAATCTCCTTTACATCAATCGCACGGTGCGGCGCATAAGCGACCCCGTCGACACAGAGCAGGGCCCCCGGGACTTCGTGCACAACATCTGCAAATGCCTTGATATCATGAATGCTTCCCAGGATGTTACTGGCGTGTGTACAAGCTACAAAACGAGTCTTCGGTGTCAAGAGGTTCCGAAGTGCCACCACATCGAGTTTGGGGTTTGAGTGATCAGAAGGCGCCCACCACTTCACCGTTGCGCCCGCGAGAGTTGCATAGTGGAGCCAAGGGTCAATGTTAGACTCATGGTCAACTTCGGAAAGAATAACTTCATCACCAGCCTTCAACTTTAGAGCTGCTGCAAGGTTACGGAAAGCTTGAGTTGTTGATGGTGCAATTACTAATACGGAGTGTAAGTACATGTGACCATGGATGTTGGGCCCTTCCCTTTGAATCTGGGCGTGGGGTGATGGGTGACCCTTACCGATTTCACCGACATCGGCATTAACGTAATCGGCGGCAACTTTGTACGCCTTGTCGAAAGTCTCCGTTGAGATCTTGGAGGTTTTGTAGCTTGCCCCCAGTTGCACGTTGTTGTTCACGAGATATTCCGAGATGCTGTTCTTTGATGTCAGTAAATGAGGTAGCTTCAGTGTTGCCCACCGTGCCTGATCCCCAAGAGAATTATGTTTGACCGGCTCTTTCTTACCTCTTTGCGACTGTGCCAAGCACTTGACTTCCACCAGCGTTGTCGCCAAAGATCTGGTTTTTTGCCAAAGCTGGGAACTGAGCCCTAGCCTTCTCAACTGAAAATGTTGAAGCCATCGTGGTAGTCTAGTCTTTGAACAAGAATCACTTTCCTTACACTAAGATACGTATAACTCAGTCGTAGATCCTCATACCTCTTGAATCCAGTATTTTCCGCGATGTCGGTTGATGATATGAGCCAGCGTTCAACCCCACATTCAGATTCCACGATGGACTCAGGTAGAGAGGACGTTGCCTCAGAACACGCATTGACCGCCTCCCTTCATATGCAAGGTCATAATCATCCATGCTGGGTCGCAGAGAGCGCATAAGCGACGTCATAATGACCAAGACACCCAACGACAGTCACTGGATAAAACCTGCATAAACTTTACCTACTTCCATCCATGCTCTCCATATTCTAGATTCTTGAGACAGTGCAGGACGAAACATGGTCATGATGCTGACAAAGTGCGGGGTGTCGCTGGCATCAATGAGGCCCTCAGAGCTCCACTAGTTGAGTTTTTGGGAGAGCCTGAGTTAGGTTTAATCAGATCTCCAAGAGGGGTCCAATAATCATGTAGAGACAGCAACGACACCGCATATTCTTAGTCCTTATCGTGCATTATCTTATCAATAAGAATTACTATAACTGGGTCAGAACTCTCAAGAGCAGACACGAGGAGAGGTACACACGATCGTGCAGACTGCAAACTCCAATTCCAACCCCAGCTGGTCATCACTCATTTGATCACCGCATAGGCCGTAGTCAATCTCAACCATACTTTGTCAAGAGATCTCCGGACAAATTCTCTGTCAAGCAATCTGAAGATGGAACATGGTATGGAATCCAGATCGACCCGCCTTTATCCCGATGCCTGTAACTGACTGCTCATCAAGTCGTTGAAATCGGGGGCGTCCGCGTTCGGATCACACCTGTCGACGAAAATCCGAAGACAGCTGTTGCATTCCAGGATCTCGTTGGGCAGCTACAGCTGACTACGGCTCTCGCCAGGATCCCTCGACCAATTTCTGAGGCCCGTCGCCGTGTTCAAATACTTGTGTCAGTCGACTTTGATGCGGTGTCGGGCTGGATGGGCACAGGGCAGCATCCCAACAACTGCCTAGCCGACTTCTCATCGGGCATCTTCGCAGGCCGAGTTGGCGTAGGCCGCCTTCTGGGTCTCTTTCACCGTATCGGCGTCTCCGACAAGGTAACATGGTTCATACCAGGTCACTCTATGGAAACGTTCCCAGCGGAGACGAAATGTATCGTAGACTCAGGCGCGGAGATTGCACTTCATGGCTATTGCCACGAAGACTGCACCAAGCTTGATACGAAGCAAGAGGAAGATGTCCTGGACAAGTGTATTGCCCTTGCCGAGTCTTTGACTGGGAAGCGCCCTGTCGGATTCCGAGCTCCTTTGTACCGAATCCGCCATGAGACGATTTCTCTATTGGAGAAAAAGGGGTTTCTTTATGACACCTCACTCAGCGGCCACGACTCACAGTTGTACCCTCTCGACCGAGGCTTTTCTCTCACCCCAGTCGACTATTCTAAGCCAGCACATACATGGATGCAGCCCTCTGTCCAGCCGCAATCTACCGGCATTGTTGAAATCCCTGCCAACTGGTACATGGAAGACATGACCCCCCTCCAGTTTTGGCCCAACGTCGAGAATTCTCACGGCTTTGTGTCGGTTCAGACGATCGAGAAGATGTGGAAAGACCGCTTTACCTGGTTGTGGAGCCATGGCGCTGACGGAAATGGTCCCGGTGACTTCGTCTTCCCCTTGGTCCTCCATCCTGATACCTCAGGCATGGCACATATCGCAGGAGCCATCGAGGATGTGCTACTCTGGCTGAAAAGCTGGGGATCACAGGTGGAATTCGTCACATACGAGACAGCAGCAAGGTCATATGTGGAGCAAAAGGGTAATTAGTGCAAGGTAGACTTCGTTCCCATAACATAATGCCGTACACGAGATAGACCTTCGTCTTCATGCCCACATGCTAAATACGATCATTTGAGTATCAGATTACTATTGCTTGTCAAGTGATCTTGAGGCAACAGGATCGGTGTCAATTATGAGTCTAAGTCTTTTTAATTCTGTAGGAATATGATCCATCATAGCAAGACTTATCGTGGCGCCCATCTTCTGCACCTAATGTATCGTGAAGATTGTCTGAGGCCAATCTTCCTAAATCGTAGTCTCCGAGATTGCTGTATCTAACAGGTATTTGCAGAATAACAAGTACTCAAGTATCTAGCTGATACAACCTTCATGCGTTACTTAAGATGCCGAGAAATTCGTTCTTAAGGTAGTTTTTGCAGCGCAATGATGCGTCCGTCCCAGCTATGTTGGGTACAATGTTTCTTGCGGTGACGCGGAAAACCTCCGACGTAACCTCATGAAAACAACTGCCATAGCCACAAGCCCTGCCGTCTGACGAATTATCACCAACATCAGGAGTCGCTTATGCGAGTCTCCGCTCGCAATGCAAAGTCAGCGGACGTTTGGGGCCCATACAACATGCCTGTACTGTCACACCATCTGTAGTAAACAGCATCATGGAGGCTGCAATCGACAAAGACGATCGTCACGGCTAGTGAAATCCTCTGGAGGAGGGATAGATGGCGCCTACAAGTATTCGTCAGCCACGTTCCTGTTCAAACAAAAATCTATGGATGAGCATCCTACAGAGACAACAACTCCTATCCTCCTAGCCTTTTTGATACGAGCACCATGACCAATATTATCAATTTCCAGATCTTTTCTCGCTATATCGGCTTATTTGCCTTAGTCTTGACTATTTCCGGTCTCGCTTTCGTACTATGGCGAGTGGCAAAATACCGGCATATTCCAGGCCCCTGGCCATGCCGAATTTCTCATCACTATGTTGCATTGTTCGAATTGATTCGTCAAAGGCCTCAGGCCATCGCAAAATGGCATCGGAAATATGGCCCTTTCGTGCTTATTGCACCAGGAGAAGTGTCAATCTCCGACGTTACGGCTATGCGAGACCTTTACAGCAGTTCCAAGAGGAACCCCAAGAGCGATTACTTTGACCACTTCATTTATCACGGAGAGCGGTCAATATTTGCCGAGAAGCCGTATGAAGAGCACAAGGCGAAGAGAGGATTGTCTTCGGCGTTCTACCAGGCAACTTCCATCTACAAGTCAGAGATACAACAGCCTCTCCGGCAAAAGGCGCTTGGAGTCCGAGAGACACTTGAAAGACATTCCAAGCTCGAGCAAATCATCGATGTATTTCCCGTCATCAACCACTACGCATGGGACAACATCACCGCGTTGGTTTACGGACCAAGGCACTGCTCTCATGCTGTGCAAGGAGACTACACAGATCGCGACATTCTTGCCAGGCTCAAGAACACCGAGATGTGGAACTCTCTCAAGTTCAATCTACCTTTCGCCCACAACATAATGGAAAAGGCCGTTTCCATGTACACTGGCTCATCCAAATTCCTCTCGGCGGAGCGAGACCTCGATGTTTGGGCCATGCAGCGCCTGGCTTACTCACTTTCTGATCCAAAGTCATCGTCTGACTGGTCGCTTATTCGCCTCATTCAAGATCTCCGACTTGCTGGTCGTGATATTTCTGATGACTACGTGGCATGCGAGGTGATCGATAACCTCCACGCGGCTCAGGCTACCGTCACTGTTGCCTTGACGTATGTGGTCTACCACCTGAGCCGGAACCCTGACTGGCAAGCCAAGGTTCGAGCTGAGATTGAGGCGCTACCGCGGGAAGATGACGGCCTCCCAGTCTGGCAGTTACTCGACAAAGCCCCTATTCTAGAAGCATGCATAAGAGAGTCATATCGGATCAATCCAGTTTCTAGTGGGCGAGCCGAGCGTATATTGGCCAAGGGCACCCGATACGGCGATGTTTACATTCCCCCATACGTAAGTTGCCGGTTGCACTCCCGCTGCCATAGAACCCAAGCCAGTATTCTACACGCCGTTCTAACATTTACCCATGTAAAAACTAGACCGTTGCATCCGCTTCGACCATTGCGTTGCACCTGGACCCGTCAGTCTTTCCCGAGCCGCTGGAATTCAACCCAAGGCGGTGGTTAGACGTCAAGCCTGAAGGCTTGTTAAGACTGGAGCGGTCTTTCATCCCATTTGGGTATGGTGCCCGTCTATGCCTGGGCAAAGCATTTGCAACTCTCCAGGTGAAGATGTTGATATCTGCTGTTCTTCTCACGTTCGAGACTGCATTGGACGATCCAAGTCGTATTATGGAACAATGGGGAACACAGGATGCTTTGCCGAAGGGGCTTAACTGTAAACTCCGTTTCCGAAAGAGACAGGATGTTTCATGAGCAGAGCCGATGTTTAGTCGGATGAACCGGTAGCATCGGGACCTGACAGGTTGTCAAGAGATGGGACATGGAAAATGGTTCCGGTGGGGGAGGATCATTTTTAGTGAGTAGCATAGTACCACAAAAAACGAACGGGAACATTCGTAAACGGCTCGACCAAGAAACTTTCTCAAAGTGTCTTGACATTGCATCGCCAGCAGACCACAAAGGGTCTGGTTTGAGAGCGTTACGCCTAGGCTCAGCATTATTAAGGAGCTGCTGATCTTGGACACGTTGGCTGACTCGCTTTCCCCCAGTAGGAAAGAAACGTGCTTCCTTCGTGGTCTGACAATCAAACGTTCAAACCCTATATGTATTGGCATGCCTAGACCGAGCATGGAGGTGCGGCCGTTTGCGCGCTTCGGCGCGGGGAATAATGTCCGCAGTTGATCCCACGCGGAGCCCTCCCGTTGCATTTTCCCCGGGATCTCGGCACCGGGGTCGCTATGCTGGCACTAGGATTTGATGCGAGAATCCTTCCCCCTTCCCCTGGAAGCTTGTGGGACTCGCCGGCGGTGTGGATACAAACGCCTCAGCCTCGGTAGCACCGACACTGCCTTGGCGAAAGTTTAAGGTGCAGGAGGATTTCGAGAGACCCAGGTTGTTGAATAGTGTCACGGAAGGACGGGCTTTACTCCATGACGTGCTGCCGATATTCATAGTGTTCCTGCCCGCTGCGGCCCGTCTTGAGGCCTGTCTGTCTCTGGTGTGTCTGATGCGGTTAAGAAATATTTCTGCAGCTTCCTGCAAGTTCAGCGCTTGACTGCATTCCGTACTCTTTTAGTCTTTATTTTCTTCGCTATACGGACCGAGTGCAGGTTGTGCTCTGAGTAGTTTATTTACAGTTGCCGCCACCATGAACACCATGAGCTGCGAGGGTGACATGAGGTCTCTTTTGATGGCCCTTACAGTCAACCCGGCCGAGCGGAGGAGAACACAAAACCGACTGGCAAAGCGAAAGTCCCGTATGCAACCTCAAAACCAACATACCTTACCCTGCCTACACCCTCACTTCACTATCTTTACCCTCACTCCCAGCCCAGCCCAGTCCAGCACATGCCACAGCACATGCCAGAGCACATGCCACAACATCATCCGTTATCATCCATCCAATAGAGAAGAAACGTTTAGAAACCAACAAGTCGAGTTATTCTAGGAGCCAAGGGAAAGAGTGCCGCAGCAGCCGCTTCAGCAACGAGCCATGTCGCGTCATCATCCACAGCAACATCAGCAACAACGACGAGGAGGTCAAGAAGCGCTTCTTCTTCACCCCCAACGGTCACAGCAAGTGTGCTTACGCGTCTTTACGGTACCATTGTCACGAGAGTCTGGGCTAATGAGATTCTGCAGGACCTCACATACACCGCAGCACTTGCCGATCCGTTCGGTTCACTTCAGACCCCGCCGCATGAGTCGACCCAAGACTTTGGGCAGGCAGCAGTAATTTTCCCTGCTTCGGAAATGGGAGTGTCTGGAGAAGCTGCTCCACGGACGCTGCAACGAAACGCCGTCACTGATGACCTTGACGCGAGCTCATATTCGGCTGGAATCCCCCACAACTTGAACACTGTCGAATTCATCGAGCCGTGGACATTAGACGCCAGCATGACACTCATGACACCGAACAGCAGACACGAAGACATGTCAGACCTTTCAACAGAAGATATCCTCACATTAGGGGTAAGTTGTATATCTCACTTCGTCCCACCATCACTTCCTTAAGAGCACAGATGAGGATTTCTTATATAAGTACTCATCCGGAATCTCTCACATTTCATTTTTCTGCCCTAAATCTCAGCAACGATCAAAAGCTCCATTACTTTGCACGTCCATTTGCTGACAATATGGGGAAGGTTTGCGAGACCAACTCAAGGAAGCCCTTTGCACATTGCAGCAACACACGGCCACATCAATGTGGCTAAAACGCTGATCCTCCACGGTTCGGATGTCAATGCCGCGGATAAAGCTGGGCTGGCCCCAATTCACTACGCGACGCAAAACAACCAAGGTCCAATGGTGACCATGCTTGCGGAGCATGGAGCTGACGTCGACTTCTTGGACCCGGACGGTTGCACGCCTCTCTACAGAGCGGCAGAAAGTGGGAACAAAGCAATGGTTGAGCGTTTACTGCGACATGGAGCGAAGCTGAGCTAGGAAAGTAACAGAAACGGAAACAAACAACTGTGGCACGGAGTCAGAGTAGCATGGGAAACGGAGGAGTACTGTCAAATTGGGTGGTTATCTAAGTTTGCTGGTGTAGAATAGGCCTGTTATCAAACATGTTCACAAATCAATATCATTCTATACGTGTTACTCAACCCACTTCTCATGTGGTGCCAAATTGCAAGGTGACCCATGTGTGCCAAAATCCGGGTCGTTCTGATGCCTGTGCTTCTCAGTCAGCCTCAACCGTATCTTGAACGTTACACACGCCCAGGTCGCCAAAAGGACAAGACATCGAAGTCATGTTTAACTTTTTCTGCCCATGTAAAGAAGCTCGTATTGTGGAGCAAGGCATGCCGTGAACCCGTCTTAGTTCTCACGAGTAATTCAGGAGATGTGCGATTTCAGTCTCTTGGCCAAGCAAGCAGAGCCAAACTATCAAATCAGCACATGGGATTCTTCGCATAGCCATCTAGCCCAGCTCGGTAGATACACGGACTCCGGATGAACGCATGGAACGATTGATGTCTTTCGATCATTCGAAGTGGTTGAGCTTACAGAGCAACTCACTAAACAGAGGAGGGCGCCCGAAGACGGAACTTCTCTGTGGGGCCGGCCACCGCAGCATCGGAGCCAGAATGATTTCATCCCCCCCTGCAGCCATGGCTTTTCAAACATGCTGACGATGCAGCGTCTGTCACAACAACGTGTCTGGTTTGGATACGACTGGAATAGAACACTTTTGAAATATGAGAAGCAGTGAAGTCACATACACCTGTCGTAGACATTGAGATTTACGAGCTGTTTAGACGCTGCACAGACGCCCGCACGGATGGATCAGGGGATGACTTTGCGTCCAATCTGACCTTCGCTTTTCCAGCTGACGAGACATTCCCAGCGCCAGGTGAATGACAGAATAAAAAATCAATGGTAATTTGAATTCAATCTTGAAGCTCATGATATCCTTATTATATCTATTAAAGAAGCCTTGGGCCAGGTTTGTGTCTTGGTCGCCCATTCTACCGTCGGAGTAATACACAGCATCTACAAGATTCAATCAAAGGTTGCACATCGTTCATTGCTGAATACTTCACACAAGCATGGCGGAACAGAGCTTCAACGAGCAGCTCCTGCAGCTGTTGGCTGCAACACGAGATCTCCACTTGAAAGACGAGCGGACACCTAACGGTGGTAAGTATCCAAATGCCCATATCCCCTGTTCATCGCTAGACAGACCTGATGCCCAGATTAGGAACGTCGGATGTAGAGACTGAAAGCTCCGAGCACCCTCTAGTTGTTCTTTCTGCCTTGGCAGCTAGACTGCAGCGAGATGGCAAGGAGAAAGAGGCGAAAACAATTCTGCAGGTCGTCAGCATCGCCACGGCGTCCCCCGACTACGGCGGTATGGGTTTGACCTGGACCGGGGAGTCAAGCGCAACGGACCGCAGCGAGCTGATTCTGCTCACATCAGCATGTAAGCATACTTCCTTTCCTTTTCTGTGCCGCGAACTTCCAGCCCACCCCTGGCCTTGCCGCTTTTATTGAATGAGAACTGATCGGGACCGAATTCCTTCACCAGGGCTCGAGAGTCTGAATTCCAGCGATCGACGGGGGGGACCGATCGTTCCCCTAGTAAGCCGGCCTGCCAGCCGCCGCCCCATGAATGTTACAGAGAAGATATTTGCTCTGCATGACGTGACTCGCACAGGATGGGTCCGAACAGGGGATACGATTAGAGTTTCTGTCGACTGGATCATGGCTAGCGAGGCTAGCTGGCATGTATGTTTACACTTTACCCTCACCTCTAAATCCTCACAGGCTTGGATGGCTTGCTGACGTTGAACTAGGGCATGCTTCAAGTCTACAACAAGCTGGGAGACCCTGGAATCTTTTCGAATTCCAACTTCTGGTTGGCTGGCGATCATGTGGTTGATCCAAGGCTGATGGATACGCCCCTTGTGCAGAAGCTGGTTGGCGAGATGGACTTTGCTCGTAAGAAGTTCAAGATGACACAGTTCCAGGGCAACAATTACACCATCATGCACACCGAGTTCTACCGTGAGCGGGCCCAACCAGGCCAAATCATCATTGGCTCGGATTCGCACACGTGTAGCTCTGGGGCCGACGGTTGTCTTGCGATTGGACTGGGTGCAACCGAGGTCACGATGGCTCTGGTTACTGGAGAGATCTGGTTCAAAGTTCCCGAGGTCGTCGAGATCCACCTTGTGGGTAAGCCCCAGCGCGGAGTCGGAGGTAAAGATATTATCCTCTATATTCTTCAGCAGCTCAAACGGAATACGGTGGCTGCGGATCGGGTAGTTGAGTATACGGGCCCCGGGTGCCGATGGTTGAGTTCTGACGCCCGCTTTGCCATTGCAAACATGACTACCGTAAGCAATTGCCTTTGTTTTTACCCTTTTTGCTCTCACTAGTCCGATTCCTCTTTATCCCGCCGGCACGGCATGCAGACCCTTGGCACTTTGCACGAAGTTTCAGGGTTGCTAACCTCGAAATCAGGAGTTTGGTGGCATCACAGGGATATTTGTTCCTGACGAAGTCACTAAGGACTTTATCGATGCCCGTAAAACAGCCCATCACAGGACCGCATCGTACTACTTCAAGCCCGACGAAGGATGCTCCTATGCGGAGTCACATACTATCGACGTCTCTCTGGTCGAGCCCTTTGTGGCCAAGTACCCGAGCCCCGATGATGTAGTGCCGGTGTCTGATGTGGCAGGTACTCACCTTGATGGTGTCTTCATCGGTGCTTGCACAACAGCGGAGGAGGATCTTGTCATGGGCGCGCTTGTGCTGCAGGCTGGCCTGGACGCGGGAAGGAAGCCGGTGGCCCGAGGATAGCGCCGAGTCGTCCCCGGAAGCCGCCCCATCGCCGACTACCTTCGAAAGACAGGCCTCGCAGACATTTACGAGAGAGCGGGCTTCATCATTGGCATCCCTGGATGCAGCTATTGTGTGGGAATGGGCGCTGACATGGCCAAACCTGGGGAAGTCTGGCTCAGCAGTCAGAACCGCAATTTCGAGAACCGTATGGGCAAGGGTAAGTCTCGTGGGATACACTCACGATCGTTCTTATTTCCCTGCCTGTCCCTTTTTGGCCAAAACTGCCCGCAGATATGCCCCGTTTCCAGGTGGACCCGCGAGCAGTTTTGTGATATTGCACCAGAAACCCCTCTCAAGACCCTCTCGAGACCCAAACTCAGCTGGGAAAGTGCAACGCTGGACAATGTAAGCTAATAACTGGCATGACAGGGGCTATCGGCAGTTTGGCGTCCGCTGCAACGGTGGCTGCGTCGTCTTTTGACATGGCTGTCACTTCTCCACAAGATCTTATTGACCTCATCCCAGCGGATCGATGGGCCGCCGTCAAGGGTAAAGGATCCCTTGCCGATGGTATCCTCAGCCAACCGCAATGGGTGGAGCCACCAGGCCAAGATGCCGAAGAGGATGCGAAGGACGTCGCGGAGGACCAGGGACCCAGCCCGTCCGGCGAGGACGCGGCCGCCGATCAGGCTAAGCCCGGCTCCGGGACCATTAGGAGTAAGATCTTCCGTCTAGGAGATTTTGTTGACACCGATGCGGTAAGCCACCTTTCCCTTGCTTTGCTTCTGATTCGCGAATCGCACATGAAGCCAGCAAAAGAGGCGCACAAGAAACAATGTTCTAACGGGCCGTCCCGCAAATAGCTTGCGCCTGCACAATACCTTCTCACATCCAAGAACAACGAGGAGCTCGGCACTCATTGCCTCGAGTTCACCAACCCGGAATTCCGGCAGCTCGTTAAGGAAGGTCACAAAGTCATTGTTGCTGGCGATGCGTTTGGCTGTGGATCTAGTCGTCAAGAGGCTGTGCAAGCTTTACTAGGTGCGTCGGAGTCTCATTCCCTCAATCCTTTGCATCTTACTTTGCACATATGCCCCCTCGCTCTCGGCGATTCTTACCGCCGCATTGTCCGTCAATGAGTTTGTCCGCCGGGAGAAATGACTCTCCGAAGTGATCATCATCATCATCATCATCATCATCATCATCATCACCATCCTTCGTTCCTTCGTGCCGTTCCTTCGCTCGTAATGGTGGCTGACCAGACATTACTGTATTAGGCGTCGGTGTCGAATGTGTGATTGCAAAGGCATTCGCGTTCATTTACAGCCGAAACCAGCCGTCCTTGGGTCTGTGGGGCTTCACCATCGACGATCCCTTGTTTTACGAGAAGGCGCAGACAGGAACCAACATTGAGATCGACCTGGATCGCAACGTGCTGACTGTCGACGGCGAGACATTCGAATTTCGGTTGTCCGTGCTCGAGAAGAAACTGACCAAGATGGGCGGCATGACAAATGCCTTCAACCAATTTGGCAAACGCATCTACGACGTCTTGACGGGTCGCAAAGCCTCACAGGGTGGTGTCGCAAAGGAACTCAAGGCTAAACCTGCCCGAGATGTCATGGCATGGTGATCATGCACATGTGGGCTCTACGGATGGTGGAAGGGGCTGGATTTATGCAGGGTCTCGACCCGTAGTTCAGCAGGGCATGGAGTTGAACAGGCCGTAGTCGTCCCATATCTAGGTACTTAGTGTACGGAGTAATAGAGTGTAAGCGTATACCGTACGGGTATCAGTATGGCCTCCAAGCTTTTGCGCGCGCGCTACGTCTTCGGTGACTGTCAATGATTTCGGTGCTTGAGTGTTGGCAGCTTGGCAATGTAAGCCCAATCCTGAATATTGTTTTCCGCAGTTTTCATGTAGGTCTAGGCGCGACTATTGACATTGGACAGCGACGACCTCGGTGTAGAAACCCTTGGAAAGCTAATTTCGGGGTCCAGGTTCATATCCAAAAGACCCTTACACCATCTTTGGTCAGCAGTAGCTGCAGTGGCTGCAGGCTACATCAGTAGGAGCCAGGGCAGACCTTAAAGGCCTAGAATGGCTGTTACTGGGGTTCAGACGGGGAAGCCGGGGCCAAATTCTGGCCATGCTGCATGTTCCCTATGGCATTTCTGGATCGCAAGCAGCTGTGGTACGATGTAGGCGGGTGACTGACTCGAGCGAATACAACGGCTGTTCATCGGAAACTATATCCCACATCGCCAATACCTGAAGTAGTGTAGCAAAGGTATGTCTTTCTGCAAGCGAGGCAAACTGCGAAACAGCGGCCGAAGATGTGATCGCATCGTACCCATGGTAGAATGATTGGCCTAAGTCATGTCTGTAGAGGAGCATTGCAACGCTTGGCTACCTGCTCTAGAACCGACATTCTAGTTAGCTTGCCCGAGTTTAGTGGATTGACTGACTCAACGACTAGGATACTCTTCCTGGGTAATGTTTGCGCTGTCACTCGAAATCATTAGAACACAATTATAGATGCAACGTGGGATAGCTGTAATACTTCAAGTCTCCAAGACCCCCGCAAAATGAACACGCCCGTAGCTCGAGCATCTTACTCGTGGATCCATCTCCTGAAATCACGATATATTACGGATACCCAGTCCCCTATTGATTCCACCAGGAGTCAACACGGAGCACGCCTTGGTAGGTTTCAAGGGGATGCTCACCGGCCCGGTTTTTAAGAAACGAAAGCACACAGCAAAGCTCCATACGTATTCGTACTGCGTATTTGAGCGGAATAACACTGATGGGCTTGGGAAAGCAATCTATCTTGAGCAATGCGCAACTCTATCCATCTCCGCCCACTGGCCACAGTTGGAGTCTATCCGCTTTGTATGATACCTACAAATTCAAAAACAAAAAACGTGAGTCGTTCACCGTCTCAAGACCTCGGTACCGAGAGTTACTCCGGAGACTTCACTGACCTAGTGTTGGTGATCCGCTCAATGTCATTGCGCAAAGCTACGCCATCGAGTTCTTCCACCCAACCCCACGGCTCTTTATACAGTCCCCGCTTGATTCCTTGCAACCTGTCTGTCAACCTGGCATAAGCGGATTGCGGAGACTGCGCATCGACGGTAAACGCGAACCGCTCGCCAGTCGACTCGCGCTCAATGGCGCTTACGGGCACCAGCGATGATGCGGTGCCGACGGTGTAGACCTCAGAAAAGTCGCCAAGATCAGTGAACGGGATCTAAAGCCATGGCGCCGGGACATTATTAGCGGTAATCTCCCATAAAACTCAAAGACTTCCGCCGAGATCTCGGTCCTCCCCCACATGGAACGTTGAAGAGAGGAATGGAACGTTGAGGGAGCAGTTGGCTCATGGTGGTGGATCAAACGAGGAACTCAAAACTTACGGGACGCTTCTCAACCTTCCATCCAAGTTCCTGGGCAATTTGTCCCACGCTGTCAACTGTGATACTTGGGAGGATATGCTCGTCTTTGGGAATGACCATCGTAGGCGGAGCTCCAGTCTCCGCAGATTCTGCCTTGATTCCAATAAAGCCGCTAGCAGAGAACTCGTGGATGAAGGACTGCGTCTCGGCGTCTAGGTGGAGCGTCAAGCCGTAACCTTGCTTTCGTGCCCGTCCCATTATCGGAATGGTGGGCCCGTAATTCCCACCGACTTTGAAGGCGCCGGTGCCTTTCGGCGCCGTACGGTCGAATCCCTCCACAACTAACGCTTTGAGGCCCGTTGCCCCATACAACAGCCCGACCGGCGTGACCAAGACGGCGAACGTGTACTCCTCCGCCGTGTACATGTTCATAGTCGGGCTGCTTGCAAAGACGACTGGACGCACATACATGGAGCACCCACCCTCGAACGGAGGTACAAAATCGCTGTTGAGTTGAACGGCCAACCGCACCGATTTGGCAAACAAGTCGGCCGGGACGGCCGGAATGTCAACGGCAGCGGCAGACCGCGCGAACCGGGCCGCATGGCTCGCTAGCCGGAAAAGCTGGACGCTACCTGACTCGCTGCGAAAGACGCGTAGCCCCTCAAAGGCTTGCTGCCCGTAATTAAGCGCTGGGGACAGGCCGTGAACTTTTATGTAAGGCTCCTGTACCCAGCGCGGTTGGCTCCAAGTGCCGGACTTGACTGTAAATGTGCATTCGATGTGGCCGTTTACTAAGCACTGTTATTACCACCCATCCAACCCAAAAGCTCGTTTAACGGGTGTCATCGGTTGCACCATGTTGGCTGACATCAGACCATAGTGACCCCATTCACAAATGGACTGACCTTGAAAAGGCGTAAAGCCGATCTTGCTCCATTCTACGTCCGTCTTCGGCTGGCGAACTCCGAAGAGGATCTCGCTCTCGCTCTCGCCAGGCGCTGAAGAGTATGCGGGAATAGAACCCATGGTAGCAGATGTTTCGCAAGAAAAAAGAGAATTGTGGTGCCGACAGCCGGTAGAACAAGTCACTACAGAAAAATTGTAGTGATAGAATGACAGCTTAATTCAACAATGGGAGTTAACCAAAGTGACGATAGCCCCCATTTGAATCAAGCTCGAATACGGCTCTATTGTACTGCAATGCTTGGTTCCGGGAACGAGACGCTAATTACGTTAATCCGCACTCTCAAGTTGGTTATCTTCAACAGCTGACTGTCAGCGTCTGATCACAATCTCTAGCTTGAGCATTTGCCGCTTGACCATACAGCTGTGGAAGTCTTACAACGCGTTGTCCGACGTATCGGGAACGGCACTATCTGTAGTAGCAGTACTCTAGCCATAGTATCTCATTGAGCCCGTCTCCAATCTAAACTGGCTGTGCCGTATGCAAAGTCCCTTGGCTGTACGCGCTGCTCCATGGTTCCGTTGGGGACGGCCGTGTGGGCCTGGGGATTTAAACTTTCTCGGGGGTTTTGTGACACGGTCACACGGAGGATGCCTATAATCAGTATTGTCTTGCCGCCGAGTTCCGATTGACTGAATCGAAGGGGGTTCTGTTGGGGCGCCAGGGCCAAAAGACTAATGGACCCTTGTTTCTTCGTTGGAATCGTAAGACGGTCGACTAGCCGGGACCAGGGCCATATGCAAGGTCAGCAAAATCATCATACTCGCAGGGCGGGTGAGCCCCTGATCTTCGGATAGATTCGCATTCCCGTCACATCCTCAGCCTGAATGCACAGTCTTCTCTCTCTGTCACTGGAACTGCTTACTTCCAATGCATTGTCCGGCAGGCAAGCAGCGTCAACATCATGAACCCTCAAGTTTTGTCTGGCCGAGCTCGGCTCGAAGGAAACAATTGCAAAACCAAGCATGAGAATGGACAAATTCAATTGGGAGCCATGTGTATACTTGAAGAAGAAAAACTCGATCTAGATCTCATTTACGAAGACTCAGCAATTCTGTGCAATTCTGTTCAATCGCTTTTCCATCTAACTTCTCAGCCAAACCACCGAGAATTTTAATTTGTCAAAATGTCTGCTACGTTCAAGATCGTTGTTTTTGGTGGAGATTACGCTGGGCCAGAGGTATGCTCAACTTCCCCAGTTCACCCACACACCCTTTGAGGCGGATGAGTCCAGTCATTAATCATAAATGCAGGTCATGTCTGAGGGGCTCAAGGTCCTTCATGAAGTCGCCCTCCGCCACCCCGAAATCAGGTTCAACCTAACGCATCACCCCATAGGCGGAGTATGTCGACATCGAAGTTTCTGCCAAACCGCGTATTGTTACGCTTTCTAACCCTTTTCGTTACAGGCATCATTTGATCTCCACGGAAAGCCGATCCTTCCCGAAGCTCTTCAAGATGCAAAGGAGGCCGATGCAATCCTTCTAGGCGCAGTCGGTGGCCCTGTAAGACACCCATGCCGGTACCGCCTTCGACAAACCGCCTTGCTGACCACATGAGCTCCAAAGAAATGGGCTGGACAAGTTCCATCCGTTGAAGCCGCGAGTCTCGGAACTCTGCGCCGCGAACTAGATGCATTCGGCAACCTGCGTCCGATCAATTTCCCCGCCCCGTCCCTAGTTGACACGTCGCCAATGAAAGCTGAAATTTGCAGAGGCACTGACATTCTCATCGTTCGCGAGCTTACTGGTGGTATTTATTTTGGGCACCGAGAGCGCGGCGATCTCATTGCCAAAGATACGGACCAGTACACCTATGAAGAGGTTGCAAGAGCGGCGCGGTTGGCTGGCAACCTGGCTAGGTTAACAACACCGCCTAAGCCCGTCATCAGCCTTGACAAAGCAAATGTGCTCGCAGCTTGCGGCAGCTTCTGGCGTCGCGTCGTCACCGAAATCTTGAGCAAAGAGTTCCCCGATGTCCGTTTCGAGCACCAGCTTGTGGACAGTGCCGCCATGACTCTGGCCTGCAACCCGACCAAGCTCAACGGCATCGTGTTGACGAGCAATCTATTTGGTGACATCATTAGTGATCAAGGAAGCGCCATTGCTGGCAGCATTGGTCTTCTCCCCAGCGCTAGTTTGCGAGGTATCCCACCGCAATCCGGCAGCAGCATGATCAAAGGCTTGTATGAGCCAGTTCATGGATCCGCGCCAGACATCGCCGGGAAGCAGTTGGTCAATCCTGTTGGCATGATCCTTTCTGTTGCCATGATGTTCCGTTACTCTCTCAACATGCCCGAAGCATCTGATCTTATCTGCAAGGCTGTTAGCGATGCGATTGAGTCTGGTATCCGGACTTCGGACTTGGGGGGAACGGCGACAACAAGCCAATTCGGCGATGCGGTGGTCAAAATCATTTCTCAACTTCCTTGAGAGGGGGGAGAGGCACATTAGTTGTAAGCCAATGGGTATGGCTAGCGCCAAGAACTCTTAGACATGGATGCGAGTATTGCAATACAGGATTCATAGACTACTTTACAGAAAGAGGCGAAGGCATGGCAGGGTAGAAATATTCTCCCCGGCGGTTATATTGCAATATTGATATTATCTGAAATACACCATCTGAAAGATCTGACACTTTTGGCTCTATCTTTAAAAGCACGTAAGGGAACACTGAGTCTCTTTTGTATTGTCAGGAGCTGAGTTCGATGATCGGGTCTTAGACGATGATTCCACGGTTGGTACACAGAATCGGAGAAAGGCTTTTTTAGGTCAACAAACACAGGTTGGCGTTATCAAGAGACGGAGTAACCGCCCAGCCAAAGTCCGGTTTCTTGTAAGAACCAACTTGAACCAATGGCTCGTCAAAGCTTCATCTGTAAAAAGAAGCATTGTCACCACAAAAGCTCAAAAAGTCGCTAACCGTCGTCACATTTCAGACCCCTTACCCCTGTTGCACACGTTTCTCGTGTTGGTTGGATAGTGGTCTGTTACAACTAGACCCGCTTAGAAGTGACCCCGGAGGATCAATGGAGGGTCGATCATGCCGAGTCGCCGGCGGTGCTGTAGGGAGGACGCGTCATTTGCGAGACACAGAGGTCGACCAACTTGCTTTCCCTCTAGGCACCAGCCTTGGCACCCTAAACTCTCGGAACGTAGTCAATGCCGCTTTGAGATAGTCTTTCAGTGCCCAGCATCTTTAAGTTGGATATCGAAGCCAACTTGAAGGATTGGTTTAACAAAGTCGTCAATAATATCTAGTGGAAAAACAGCCGATCTACAGTTTCTAGACACAACGATCACCAGATCAGACGTCCTCCTATGTTTGCTCGCTGTAAAGACTAGTATTTGTTCATCCTCATCTTTCTCTTCTTATTTTCCTTTGGCACTACCGAAGCAAGCGTAATGTTCCCAACACCAACGCTGATGATTCGGGACGATGGCGATGATGATCCTCCGAGAACAGACTGCACGAGTGCGGTGCCGGGACCGAATGGAGCGGTTCCTTGGGACGCCTGCAATTCAAATTACAACTTCCATCCCGAATTGACACCTGCGATTGCAACAGCTTCGATATTTGGTGTTCTGACTTTAGTTCATCTTATCGAAGCGATATGGTACCGAAAGGTATGATGATACATCCGAGACTCCACTTGAAATCTTCCTCTGTTTCCACCAAGAGCAATGCCATCCATCGGAATACGTTAGTGAAGAGTATAAGTACTGACATCAATCGCCGGACAGCCTTTCACATGGACAGTTCTTATGGCGGCAAGCTGGGAAATGGGCGCATTCATTCTTCACGCATATGGCTCGCAAGATCAACAAGCCCAGGGGTACGCCACAGGCCATCAGGTGTTATTCCTGTTGGCTCCTGTATGGCTCAACGCCTTTGTTTACATGACATTTGCGCGAATGGTTTACTTCTTCCGACCAGGCGGGGAGCCTCGAGTTTGCTACATTCCAGCAAGATGGCTCGGGCGCATCTTCGTCGTTGCCGACATCGCCACATTCATTGTGCAGGCCACGGGAGGTGTCATGGCTGGCCCAACAGTAGAGCCTAATACAAGGGCAAAGGGGGTCAAGATCTACATCATCGGCATGGGTGTTCAAGAGGGCTTCATTGTGGTTTTCTTGATGTTGATGGCTCGCTTCCATTATCGTGCTCTACAAATGAACAGGGAAGATATGTACGGACTGGAAGGCGGGTCGTACGACCGCGAGGATGAAGAAGGCTACATGCCACGACGGAACTGGAAAGCCCTTCAGTTTGCACTTTATGCAGCTTTGCTTGCAATCACGGTTAGTCCTACCCTCATCCTGCCCTCTACGATGCCTTTGAACGCAGTTTGACTGACAGCTATTGGCACGCCAAGGCCCGGATCATCTTCCGTCTCGTCGAGTTTACCGGAGGCATGACTCCTGAAGAGAACCCAATACCTTTCACAGAAGCATACGCATATGCCCTAGACGCCTTCCCCATGATGTTGGCATTGCTTATTCTCGCCATCATACATCCTGGTCGAGTCCTTCAGGGTACGAATAGCGAGTTCCCCAGGAAAGGATGCCGACAGAAGCGTAAGGAGAAGAAGGAGAAAAAGGCGGTAAGAAAGGCAGCTAAGGTGGAGCGCAAGGCAGCCAAGGAGGAGAAGAATCGAATCAAGAACGACCGGAAAAAGATGAAGACATATGGAGAGGTAAGTCAACATACCCACTTCCTGGCACCCCCCTGTTTCTGGCACCCACAAAAACGCGAAAATCCACCACAACCCAATGCCCACCCCCAACCTCCTTTTATCACAACATTTTCAATTCGCGTCCAAATGGGCTCATCTTTTGCACATGTCTTCTTCTATATATAATGCCTCAATATACAGAAGATCAGCTTCGTCAGGCTCTCGAGGA